AAAATGATTTTCTAAACTGTAGCAATGTAATGTACGTATAGTGTCAAATACATTTTTGTAGTCTTCATCAGCTTTAATGCACATGGAAGTGTTCCTAAAGTCACATGCTGTAATGATATTTACATTATGAAAACATGATTTTGGACATTTCAAGTTTTTCACTTCGGCAGATAAAATGAATTGAGCAAAATCAACTCAAAATATTTCCACACGCCAGAACGTCCTCTCTTCCTCGCTCATATCTGTCAGTGGAATGATCACCTCGTCGCTCTCTGTCACCATCAACACACTCCACGAATCCCGTGGATGATTCACTTCCTTATATCCGTTTGAATCAGGTACCGAAGCAGTTACGTGCGTAATGAAGCTTCGGACGTCACTGGTCACGTGACTTTTGCCAAACGAAGCAAGCCTTGACACAGTGCTTCTGAACCAGTGTGTTGTTTTTTTCGACACACGCTCCGGAGCGTCAGCTTCAAGCGGGCCATCACTACTGTGAGTCACTTAAAGTCAAGTTCACTCATAAATGTGTCACAATAACGTCACAGGCTATAGGCCATACATGCCAACACTCCCGATTTTTCCGGGAGAATCCCGAATTTCAGTGCCCCTCCCGAAGGTCTCCCGGAGCCCGAATTTCTCCCGATTTTCCACCCGGACAACAAAATTGAAAAACCATATTCCAGATTGGCCCAGCCAATTCCAGTTTCCAACAATGGCTACTACTACTGCAGCTACATAGCTTTAATATTACTCTTATTTCTCTTTCTGGGTCGCAAAATAAACTTTTAACATATTTTCAGGCAAGAATGTAGCTGAGTAAACTTCAAATATCTGAGCCGGCGTTGTGCCAAAAACTGACCTCCAATGTTTCCGTGTGTTTTTTATGTGTAATATCATATGATGTTAAATAGACTTCTGTGAACAGGTATTACAAAGTGGTTATATATAAAATTAAAAAAGTACCTGTTCCTCAAGTATCTTTGTAACCGTGTTATTGTACCTACATTATAATCAACCAGCTTCCTTTTGTCCACTTAAAATATGTTTACAGAACTATTTTTGCCTTTGTTGCAATTTCACCTGTCCTCTTGGCCAGATTACTCTTAAGAGAGACATTTTTAAGGTAAACAAGAATTTTTTTAACTGCATAAATAAAGGATACATAAAAGTCACTGCCAAAAACTGACTGAAGGTTCTACCTTGTTACAGGAATGTTGTTTGTTGCTCAAGATGACTTGATATCATTCACGAGGGATACATTTGACATATGTTTCACATATTATAGACCAACAAGTTATTTATAGCAGTTTAAATACAAGCAATCAGTTTCTGGCAGGCAATCACAACACCTGGTTCTCAGGTGGTCCTGTTTCTGGCCCCGGCCAATAATAACGGTGACATTTAACTTATTTTATCCGATAAATAAACATTGTAAAATTCAAGTTTTGTGTGTGTGTTTGAATGTCTCCCTAATTCTGTGTTCTCAAGGTTGGCAAGTATGTGCCAGGCTTTGGCCCACATCAGTCTAAAACTGTATGTAACCATGAATAACGTGTTGCCATGTCCACCAGGAGAGACTGGACAGTATAGATGTAAAAC